TTTCCTTCCTTCCTTCCTTCCTTCCTTCCTTCCCTTCTGCCTTAATGGGTTGCCTTTTCCCCTTCAGTCTCTGTCATTGCCACTGAGAGAAGCTGATGACATATGCTGTAGATTCCGAGGTCCACAGTTCCTTAAATGAGATGAAAGGAATCAGTCTTTGGGGGCATCGTGAGGTGTGGGTGGGTGATGGGTGGGGAAGGGCTCTGGCAGAGAGAGAGGCAACCAGGATCTTCATTCTGTGTTTCCGCTGTCAAAATTGTGACACTGCAGGTCTCCAGCTACATAATCAGTTCCTGGCAGCTTCAATCCATACTTGTCCACACACCAGCACAGGCCACGTTTTCGGCCCCGAGATGGTTTGCACTAGAGAGAGGAAGGAAAAGGATCAACAGTGAGCAGCAGGATAGCCGGGCTGCCATTTCTAACACCTGATTCGATTCATCTTGCATGAAATTCACCTGAACTTTCAACTTATCATCAAACTATCAGGAGAGGAGGACAGAAATATAAATCCAGTTCATTACTTAGCCGAGCAGGATTGATCTTACAGAATATTCCCCCAAGGTCAGAAATTCATTTATTTGGGGCACAGGAGAAGGCTATGCAGTGCACTCCTGAGATGGTGGCTGGTCTCGTCTCTAGGGGGAAAACTATCCTATCTGGAACCAGGCATAAACAACAATTGAAGTGATTCTGGATCTAAAATGTAGCCTTCTCCTCATTGTTTTGTGGGGCTTCTATAGCTTTCCTACAACTGAATAAATTTAACTCCTGTCTCAGCTATGGCCTGTGATTCAAAGCTCCAAAATGGTGGTAGGACAAGAGGTTTCCCATTGGTGGAAACTCAAATCTGGTGTCTGGCTTGACAATGAAAAAAAATGGTGCAAATTTGTCCCTGCTCCTTAGCTGCAAAGCATACATTTTAATTTTGAATCCAGCAGGAAATAATACCTGTTTCCTTTTATAGAAACCTTTCCTGTCACAGTTGGGAAGATGAACAGCTCGAGGGATCATTCGCTGGCTGGATTTGAGCTCCTGTAATGATGCCTCCATTTGCCGACGGCAAGGGCCCTGGAGAGAAGCAACCACAGAAAAGTAAGTTAAGGAATACCAAGAAACTCAAGGCTAAAGTGGATGAACACAAGAGTTTTTGACTTGGAGTCAGATTAACTAGAACAGTGTTTTTCAACCTTTTTTGTGCAAAGGCACACTTTTTTCATGAAAAAAATCATGAGGCACACCACCATTAGAAAATGTTAAAA